ACATAAAAACATAAGCATTCATTAATATCTTCTTCTGAGGAACCATAAAAACATTAACATTCATTAATATCTTCTTCTGAGGAACCATACTGTAATATACAGTTTTATACCCTGACTTTTTTTTTTCACATTGTATCATGTGGTGTCAGGAATATTCTATCTTGCTTTTTGTAACCTAACACTTAAACCCAAACTGTTTCTTGAACAATGATGCTTTTTCTTGTTTTGAGCAGCATTTGGAAATGGGAACTTCAGCCCCCCCCCCCCACATTAATCCTTCCACATGCCTTTTTCAGGCTCTGAACTTTTAATTTTGGTCCCCTTAAACAGTATGTCAAGTTGCTTCCCACTGGGGCTGCCCGGTTTTACTATTGCCACTTTACAAGATACATTAGTAGCTGACACTGCAACCTGCCCCCATACAGCCGTCCATCTTCCTTTTCATAACAACAAATGCTACTCATACACATTCACCCCTTACTGAACACCAGATACTGTGTTAAGTACCTGACCTAGGAATACCTAACTTATTTGTAGTGCTCATTAGGTCACAGGCACTTCTCCAGGGGCTTTCCATGTATTTCCATATACCAACTCAATTCTCACAATTACCTGATGAGGTAGAAACTATTACTGTCTTCACTTTGGCGGGGCAGGGGGGCAGAGGAACTGAGTCACCGTAAGGTCAAAGTTACTTGCCTTGGACCATAGAATTTAGCACCAGTATTCAAACTCTGATCGATCTTACCTCAAATCTTTTGCCCATAATCATTAATGTGTGACTCTGTGTTCAGACGGAAATGAGCACTGGGATGGGACTCACAAAGTCAGGTAGGCAGTGATGAGTGTGGGGTCTGGGACCAAGGTGCCCTGAACTCCAGCCTTCTGTCTGAGAGGCCTATCGCTGCACGCTGTTGCCCTGTACTGTCTCTCCTTTCTCAGACTGTGTGGGAACTGTTTCTCTGATGTTCAAACTGAAGGTGAAGTAACAGAGACAGACAAGCTACACATGGAAAGAAAGGAAGGTTTCCAGAGGGTGTGTGAATATGGCCAGGATGAATTCAGTCCTTAGAGACATTTTTCATGTGTGTTTCATTCTCTTCCCAGTGCTCACCCTCATTTTTCTGGCCCTTACATCCATCCTTTGGCCTTTACTCTCTGTATGTCAGGTACTCACGTCCCTTCTTTTCCACCTGTGCTTGATTCCAATGACAATCATTTCTACCCCTCTTCTGACAATAGCAGTCACTCTGGTCTCATCGTCCTTCTGTGCCAAAGAGCCTGTAAAGCACAGCCATGTAGCTGTAGGTAAATATTTAGGCAGGAAATATTTTGTATGATAAATTCAAAAAGGGAAATGTCTGGGTCAAAGTATAAGAATGACTTCTGAATGGTTTAAGCGTACTGTAGGCAATTTGGCTCTCATACACTGTTAGCGGAAAGGCATATTGCTGTAACTATCATCACACATCCTTAGAAAACTGTCTTACATTGAAAACTATTGGTGTGGTTCTTCTGGGAAGCTGAAGAGCAGGGACTAAAGTCCTGGACCTACCCTGAAGCCCAAGCTGTGCTCCACTGGGTTCTTTGGCCTCCACCACTGGGGATGCTCTATAACCCTGGTCAACCCATGGGTATTGTTCCTTTTTTTTTTTTTTTTTTTTGGTACACAGAACTCTATCACAGTACTTGCGTAATTTAAAGAAATCAGTCAAACACAAATATGAAAAGACTCATTAAAGAGCATATTAAGACTAAGACCAAGGAGCAAACACTGGTCATATGTAATACAGTGAGATCCAGAAAATGTAGAGTAGGATCCAGTTTGGAGGGCAGTGCATTTACCAACATGATTTGGAATACATGTATCTGTAACCTAGTTATAAAAGCTTATAATGCAAAATGTTAACACACACCCATGCACACTCACACTTTTCTCTTCCTCTGAGAAATAAGCCATGCTTACTGTCTGTCACAAAGCTGAGCACCCACAGTCATGCCTGTGGGTCTGGAACTTTCTTCCCCCACCCACCAGATATTCTGGAAGAAGCTGTGTCTGCTGGATTCAAGGAAAGTTTCTCCTTGTTTCTGTGTCCCCACTGTTTGCAAAAGCCTCCCTTCCTGTGATCAGAAAAGCTGTAGTATTAGTGTTAGTCAACAGGGAGGGGCTTAGCTCTATTTCTAACTGTACATGAATGAAAAATATTAATTTTGCAAAAGCAAGAATCAACACATGCTAGTTTTACAAGCAGGTTATGAAACAGATTTGCAGCCCAGTTTTTCTTTTTTTTTTTTGGTCTGAAATAAATAGATGTGGGTGGAAATGGTTGAGATCTGCAGATTCTCAAATGTGGCTTTGTTGATGATCACAAGTCGCCATTACACACATTCATTTAACAGATATTAATTAGTTGTTATTCTATGCCAGGTATTGCCAGCCCAAAGGGATTTCTAACCTGCAAATCCTGTGATCTAGAGAGATTTCTCCTCTACTTCAAGACAGATATCTCCACTTGGTCTGAAGTACCTGGACCCACCCAAGTAGGAGCAACTAGCACCTGGTCACAAAACATCATCCCAGGTCTGCTCACAGAAATCTGTCCCCGAGACCTGAAAGCTCACCACTAAAGGAGAACCAGTGCAGTAGCTGGAGGAACACTTAGGATGTGGAGGGAGACTGATAGGTGAGGACACAATCCCCCTTCTGCCACTTACTTGGCTGAGAATCATGGAAAATTTATTGTATCTAACCCCTGTGAGCCTGAGAAGGGACCGTGGATACAATCGTCATGGGGTGTTTGTGAAGAGGTCAAAGAAATCTAGTGAGTCTGCCCATCACTGAGCAAACATTGGTTGCTGCTGGGCAAGTGTTGGCTTGCTTCTCACCGTGTTCTCTCCCTACCATAGTGGGGATGCTGTTGCCATGTACTCAGTGGCATAGCCATGATGTAGGTAGAATTCCAAAACGACACAGGAAGTCACCATATGAATACACATGATGTCATAAAGGATACTAACGACTATTTCGTCGTGGGAGGATCAGCGCGTAAGTGGTAGAGGCTGAGGGGCAACCCAGGCAGCCTGAGCGGAAGGCACTAGTTGCTTTAAAATACTCCTGAGATCACCTTTGATTCTGGCAGCACGACTGTGAGACAGGAATCAGACTGAGTTGCAAATGTTCAGTAAGTGAATGTATGCGTGTTCATGTGAGCGTGTGTGGGGGCGCGTGTGTGTGTGATGACCCCTCTGTGGCTTTTGATCACATACCCACTCTCCTGGAAGAGTTCCAAAACAAGGCAATGCCTGAGATTCCTATGTCTGAATCACCTTGATGAGGGAGGTCTCTAGCCCTGTTCAGGCACCCGACGTAGTTGGTCAGCCGGGGGACTGCGGTAGCTGTTATATAGCTCCCTTTTACGCTTTCCCCTCGGCAACGTTACTTCGGAAGGAAAGTGGGTTCTTACAAATGACTCTGACTCTTCCTATACACCGTACGTAGACCACATGCCCTTACTGCTCCCTTTAAAATGTGAATTTTTCCCTTTCATTGCTGGATTTTCCTGAAAACGAGTTGGTTGCCCGGCATTCTCCAAAGGTCACCAGTAAGGGTCCTCTTTGTTGTTGTTATTGTTGATGAGTGTCATTATGAACTCCTGGCTTTTGAACATGTTGGTGGGCTTCAAACCATCGTTATGTGGTGTTGAGCAGAGGAGTGAAATGATTTGACTTGAGCTCTGCTGCTGGGTTGAAAAGAGACAGGTAAGGGAGCCAGGATGAAAGCAGAGGGGCCAGCTGGACAGCAGTACAGTCCAGGAGGTAGCTGTTGGTATCTTGGCCAGGGTGGTGGTAATGAAGGTGGTGAGAAGTGGCTGGCTTCTGGACATACTTTGAGAGAGGGGCCGAGAGAATCTCCTGACCAGTTGGATGTGGAGTGTGGGAGAAAGAGAGCACGCCAGGCCCCCTCCGAGGTTTGGGGACTGAGCAAGTGGCATTTGTGGGTCAAATGCCCTATCTGTGTTTCCTTTCACTTCCAGTGCCACACAGGGAAAGTCCCAAGGTTGTGAGTAGCAGGATTGCCCTGACAGCGGGCCACACAGGGAAAGCAAGGGCTCCCCAGAGGAGTTCATCTGAGGCCTGGTCGTAATCACTCCATCGTGGAGTGATCAGCAGTGGGCGGATCTTTACTCATAAGCGTGCCCTGAGACAACATGGAATAGTTAATGTACAAAAGGCACAGCACACAAACCTAGAGAACCTTAAGTATTACAACCCAACGGAAGCTGGTTTCTAACAGTGTAATTACCATAATCCTCCCTCCCCACAAGCCACTAGTATGATTATCTGCTGGTTCACTGTTTCAGTGGAATGCGTTAAAAATAAAATACCCTTAGTGAATCCACCCATGGGGAAGAGAATTGACACGATCTTATTTTGCAGGTGCGGAAAAACTTCCAAATCTTTTGACATGGTGAATTAGATATGCTGGAGGGGAGAATTTGTGGGTGGAGGGGTGAACAGCAACACAACTGCTAGGAGTGAATACAAGGTGAGGTATACCCAGGACACTTTCTAAGCGTGGCTGTAGCTTCAGTATCCAGTACAGTAGATGTCAGAGTAAAGAAAATGA